AAATTCAATGAACTATTGCCCAGAGCTATGCGAATGCCCGGGAGTGTGACAGCCAGCGGCTGTTATCACCGTCAAGGGGCTCTTATCAGGGCTATGGAAACATTCAGTCAGCTGGCTGTTAGCTGGCTCTTAGATTTTGCACTCGCTAAAAAAAAGGTAAACACCGAACGGGCTGAACACACAAAGAAAGACAGAGGTTGTCCAAAATTTGTTGGGTTTCTGAAAAGGGAATTAGTGCTCATACTAAGAAGTCAATAAGAGTGATGCCGAAACAATAAAATCCACACAGAAATATTAAAAAAAAAAATTCTATGAAGCTTGTTGTTTTGGTAGAACATTTAACAAAATTATTTTTGAAAGCCATAAAATCAAAATCAGTTGTGTAGATTTTTCTGTAAAATAAAACATATTTTAATATTCTTACTCATAAAAACCCACAAGATATGCTACAATTTGCATAAATGTTAAGCCTTAAATAATTTCATTTTAAATTTAGAAAAAAATAAATTAAAAATTCCATTATGACTTAGATTAAAAAAATAAAAATATGTTAATATCGCTCTGTAAAATGTCTGTTGCTATCCCTTCAAGCTTGCATGGCATTTAGGTAGGGAATTGCTGGAAAGTAAAACAAAATTCGAATGAAAAGCCCTTTAAGGGCATGTTTCATAGTCAGCAGCAAGTTTCAACACATTTCCTCGAAATCGGAGCCCTGCTCATTAATTAAGAGCAAGGAACTGCCATTGCACTGAACCAGAATCAACAGGATAATAGTGAAGCACACAAAGGTCCAATTAAAAATGAACGATAGACGGCAAGAATTGCGATTTCGAAGAATAAATTACAATGAAAATTGGAATAGGCAGAGGGATTAATATGCGTATCTACCGTATCTAGTTAGAGACCTCTGACTTGCATTTTCACTGGAAACCACTGACTTGTAAATTAATTAGAGGCCCAAGACTTGCATTTCAGTTAGACACAGACTAACTGAAAAAGTTGCAGTTTCTGGAAATTAAATAAAATGTGCGACTCGTAGTTTGGCAGCCCATTGCTTCCGCTTAATTCAAAATCCAAAATCAAACAGGATAATGCCGACTTTTGTGGATTCAATTAAAACGAGGATGCGCTAAACAATGGTAAGCCGTTAATCAAAATGAACATACATACATACATAATTTAACCGGAATCAATAGGATGATATAACGAAATAATGGTAAACCAAACAAAAGCCCAAATGAAGTCTGCAATTCGCGGAATTTAACATATTTGTGCAAATGGGCCGAAAAGTCAGGCCTTGCAATTTCATGTAAATCACAGTTTTGCCTCATTACAAAGGACTGTACATATGTATGTACATACATACTCCATTTTATCAAAACCACAAAGGCTAGGCGCACGCCTAATAAAAGCAGTCGTTCTTGGAAAATGTATTAAAATACGAATACGAATACGGGTATAGTCAGCCGTACCAAGGAATGCATTTTCCTGGAAATCAGATTTTTGCCGAATTTTATAACTTCCACTTCAGTTCGCCAAAAAAGTAAATTTGCAAGGGGTTGCATGCATTTTTAGCAGAAACAACTGTATTGAAAATTAATTACAGGCCAAAGTTTGCATTTCACTTGAACAGAATCAACAGGATAACGTCGATGTAGACAAAGGTAAACAAATATCTGTAGTTTCCCGGAATTAATTAAACTGTGCATACCGCATTTTGGCTGCCGATTGCTTTCACTTGATTTAACAGGAATCAACAGGATACTTCCAGGTCAAACAAAACAACAACTTAATTGAATTAATTCAAAATGTAAAAGTGCTAAACAATGGCTAACCGACGCATATGATGATTTAAGTAACCTGAAGTCAATAGGATAATACGAAATCATGCGAATCAAACAAAAGTCCCAATGAAAGCTCCAATTCGAAGAATTTAATTATGTACTATGAACAAAGTGTTCCGAGATGCCGGGCTATTAGTTTTTACCCAATCACAAAGAACTCATCTCGTTTAACCAAAAACACAATAAATCTTAGAAAGATATTTAAAAGCAGTCATTCTCAGAAAGTTAACTAAAATCTTAATACGGGTAAAAAGTGCATAAATATAGCCAGCAATACGAAGCAATCGAGTTTTTGAAGAAATTCCAATTTTTTGGGCAAAATAAACATTCTCTTTATTTAACCAAAAAAAAAGATATGCAAAATAAATTTTATAAAATTAAATCAGATGGAACTATGCTTAATAAGATTTTTAAAAACATTTTAAAACGTTTGCCTACTTTTTTGCTAAACACAATAACAAATAGTAGGTTTATCTCTTTAGAGTTAAGTCAAAATAGAAAGGATAATATAAATTGTGGTATGTTTATATGCCAAATGAAGTTTAAGATTTCCACAATTTTAATATAGAAATATTAATGTTTCGTGTAGTAAACGGATATATTATACATGACAATTCATAGGATTAAATTTAAGTTTAATTGAACTAAAATCTATTGCTCAATAGTCAATTTGTAATTTCCTAGAACAATAACATGAACTATAAACGTAAACAATGGTCAAGAGCAAAAGGATTTTCTAAGGAATTAATCATAATACCCCCCATATGGATGCAAGGACTTAATCAAAACATGTAGTTCCTGGATATATTCGGATGAAATAAAGACAACAGGATAAATTCCAATTAAAAACACGGCCATTAGTCGTGTTCCAAACCATATGAATTTAGGAGAAATTTTAGAGAAAAGGAGAGGGAGAGGTGGAAAATGAAAATAGGAAGAGGAAATAAAAATGGAAATCTTTAGCTTGTGTTGTTGTTGTTTTTGTTGTTTGCCTTCCTAGAGTTCTTCTCCAATGTTTAACACTTCTGGAAGAAGCGCAACTGCAACTGCAGCATCCGAAAGTCTAAAAATAGACTTGTTGACAGCTCCCAAAACGAGCAGTAGCAAGAACAACAAAAGGCGGAGGCGTAGGAGGCGGGGGCGGAGGGGGAAAGGGAAGGGGCAGCGGGAATGTGTGTAAACGATGGAGGCAAATGCAAACGGTAAACTGTGGAAATTGGAAGGGAAAATTAAGGAGTCGCAAAGAGAGTCGCTTTGCGCTCTCCAAGAAAATTAGGAGGAATATACTGACCGATTTTCTGCAATATATTCATGATGAGTCCGTGTGTTTGGTTTTTTTTGGCCAGGATTCACAGATTTTCGTGATGGCAATAATATTCATTCTCCTTTTTCCGCAATGAAAATCTGTTTTTTTTGCTCGCCATCATTCTCTTTCTCTCTCACACGCACATTTTCGTTTATTAGTATTAGTATCTGCTCACACACACAGTAGAGTATTTTTATTTGATATTTCGCCCCGTCTCTCTCTAACTTATATATATATATGTTTACATTCCGCGTTAATATTCACACTTCTGCACACTTGGCCCGGCTTAAATGTTGTTGTTCGAACCAACTGTCGTTCGAGCCAAAAAAAAAAATACAAAAAATAACAATAGAATTTTAAACGCAACACAACAACAAAATGCGGTGGTTGCTGTAGCAGTGAGTCAATGTGACCGTCTTACGGTGGAGCCGAAAGCCGTTTCTAAACAATATGTGCCTGAAAATAGTGACGAAAGTAACGCTTCTGCTAGAGCTGGCAGACAAATCGATTCGGCTATCGATTATTTTCGGGGTGCATTCGAATTCAAGCAGTGACACACACCTTATTTGAATGGTTCATTCAATGTTTTCCGTTAAAAAGTATGAGTAATTTCATTTAAATTAACTTTTGTTTGACTTACCTGTGTCATGAATGTCATGTCATGACTAGAATATTTGATACTCTTCGGTAATACATTTGCATCAGTTTCTGCAATCCTAAGTAAATAGTGTATATTGAAATTTCAATTGCTATTCCCATTTGGGCTTAAAAATTTAAATTCAAATTCTCGCGCATAATTAAATTACGGCTGGGTTGAGTCTTTGCTAGGAGTGGCTTAGCGCTTGTTCTTTTTGCGCGCGCTAGTGCGTTTTATATCCCGCACATTTTCAGATATTTTTAAACTTTGTTTTGACTCTTATACTTTTATTTGCAAAACAAACTTATACCATAAACTAAATCAACTTATTAATTGTCGTTATTATAACTCCCATTGAGTTTATACTGTTATATAAAACCAGTTTTCGCCTTTACTTTAATTTATTTTAAACATTTTAAGATTCAGAATTGTACTGTTGCGCTGTTAGTTAGTTTTTCTTAAAATAATTTTTAGGATTCTGTTGGCTTGTTCCGAAATGATAGATATTTCCAAAACAACAAAACGGATTAACTTTAATATAATTTAAAATCTGGGGATATGTTTTGAAGCTTACTCCCTAACTTTTATATATTAGTTGTATATATTAATTGTATATACAAAGTATTCAAAATATTTTTGCTCAGCATTGCCCTAAGGTATATCAAATCAATCACATAGGTAGGTAAGGTAGAAATGAGTCGTGATAAGGAAAAAAGTATCACAGTAGTGTCCTTTTTAATAGAGCTGCGAATAAACAAATTCTCAGTGCATCAGTTTTTTTCGATCTTTTAATGAAATTAAAATTAAATATAATAAAAATGTTTGTTCCGAAAAATGTAATTTTGTAAAAATATTAAGATAATATTTATAGCATTTCAGAAGAATTTAATATCCAATTGATATTCATACATAAATAAAAATATAATTATTACATTTTTAAGACTCTAATTTTTTTGGCAATCATCGCTAATAAAAGTATTTAAAAAAAACACTCCCTTTAAAACACAATCGATACATCAATTATTTCAAAACCAAATAGTATCGATGCTGAAATCGATATTCTCGCAGCCGTTCTTTTAACATAAGTAATGTTTTAATTCTCTGAAATAAATTCTGAAACTAAAATATTTTCGATAACATGTTCATATAATAATCAAAAGTTGCATACAAATCATCGATATCGACGAATTTCTTGAAGCATCGATAATAAACATCGATTTTTGGTTCAGCTCTAACTCAACTTGCTGCTGCAAACGCGTTTTTTTTTGTTGTAAAAAACTAAAATACAAGAATTAGAATTAGTTAACTTGCTCCTAGTGTTTAACCAAACAAAGTTTAGTTAGCTTTACGGTTAGTTTCCCGTGGCGAAGGCGGTTGGAAATAGAGTAGTAGCAATTGCAAATAATTACCATTACCTCTCGGCCGCAAAGCAAAAAAAAGGAGAAGAGAACAAGAGGCGTGTGAGCGTGACGACGAGAGCAAGCGAGAGAGCAGAACCAAATCGAACAGGACGGCACAGGATCGAATCGAAACTAAACTATCTGCAGGGAAAAGAAAAATTTAAGAGGCTTCGATATCGAAAACTTATATCCAATTCAAAATCCGACTGGCTGGGGAGCAAATGTCAAATTGCGGCGCATAAATACATAAATTGAAGCCCCCCGCACAAGTCAGGCTCATCCAAAATTAAAACACACACAAAGGCAGCAGTTGTCGCAACAGGAAAAAAGGTAAATGCGTGTGTGTAAGGCGTGAAAATGCAATGCATTTTCGGTTATCTGAGTGTTGTGCTCCCTCTTTCTCTCCGCGGTGCACTCTGCTTGTCCCTCTCTCGCGCGTGCTTTCGCTCTCCGCGTCTCGTGTGCATTGGCGATGCTGTATTGATTTTTCCGGTGGTGGAAAGTTGTGGGTGGGTGGGTGGTGGAACCGCCCGGCCGTCTTCATTCTGCCAAAGCAACCCCCCTGATCTATCGGCCAAAAGCGTTTCTCTATTTATATTTACACTCCCGAGCGGCAGCACTAGCAGTGCGAGAGAGCGCCACAGCGCGAAACAGTTACAAAAGTGCAAAGTCTTTAAGTTTGTGTCTGTGTGTGTGCGAAAAAGGATGTAAACTTCGGCAAACCGAAGTTTATACACCCTTTCTTTGTGAACTTGACCAGATCGTTCTATTGATAGCTAAATGTATATATTCTCAAACTTGTTTTGACTACACCAAAGAAAATAAATAAATTGGTAAAGTTTTGTGTTTGCAACACTAACAGTGATAAAGTCATTCGATTTTGTTTAAAGAGCATATGTATGTGACCAAAAAGGCGACATGCTATATCTTAAAAACAATGAAATTGTTGCAATTTGAACCATATTTTATAACTAAGGCCTTTGCACAATATAAGAATGTAGAAATTTCAAGTCCATAGCTTTTAAACTGAGGGAGTAAATTAAAAATGCGTATATGTATTTAAATAGGTTCGGTAGCAACAATTGACCAACATTATAATCCATAATTTGTTCCGTTTCTCCTCAGGATTTGACACGATGTACGCCGGAGCATATGCACCCAACGCCGGCGGCGTTCAGCAGCACACGGGCGGCGGTTACTATGGTAATGGTGCCGCCGCAGGAGCTGGCGGCGGCGGTAATGGTGCCCCACGCCACGAGCGTCCCTTCTATCCGCGCAACAATTTCGCCGGCGCCGCCGGTGGAGCGGCCATCAACGGAGCAGCCGGGGCCGCTGGTAGCATGCACTTTGGCCAGCCGTACGGCGTGATGGCCTACGGCATCCAGAATGGCCTGGGCATGGGCGCCGCCGGTGCCGGTGGCGGTAATCCGTATCGCCAGCAAAACGGTGTGGCCTTCGCCGGCAATGGCCTTGGCGGTGGTGGCGGCGCGGGCACCGGTGGAGCTGGCGGCAATGGCGGCGGGTATGGCGGACCGCGTGGCAAGAATCCCAACTACGCACAGCGCTACCAAAAGCCGCACAACGGCGGCGGAGGAGGCGGTGGCTACCAGAGCAATAACTACAATGCCGCCGCCTTGGGCATGCTGTCCAAGGAGGAGCGCGCCGAAATTCAACGCGAAAAGGCCAAGAATCCCGGCCGCAATCTGGTCAAGCCCAAGTGGGAGAACCTGGAGCCATTCCACAAGGACTTCTACCAAATCCATCCGAATACGCTGGCCAAGACCGAGCAGCAGGTGGCTGATATACGCCGCGAATTGGAGATAACCGTGTCGGGCAACGAACTGCCCCATCCGGTGGTCAGTTTCGAGGAGAGCTCGCTGCCCGCCCACGTCATCGAGGAGATGAAGCGTCAGGGATTCACCAAGCCCACGGCCATCCAGTCGCAGGGCTGGCCCATTGCCCTGAGCGGACGCGATTTGGTGGGCATTGCCCAGACCGGCTCCGGCAAGACGCTGGCCTACATGCTGCCGGCCATTGTGCACATTGGCAACCAGCCGCCCATACTGCGCGGCGAGGGACCCATTGCTTTGGTGCTGGCCCCCACCCGGGAGCTGGCCCAGCAGATCCAGTCGGTCGTGCGGGACTATGGCCACCTGTGCAAGCCCGAGATCCGTCACACTTGCATCTTTGGCGGCTCGTCGAAGGTGCCGCAGGCACGCGATCTGGACCGCGGCGTTGAGGTGATCATCGCCACACCGGGACGCCTGATTGACTTCCTCGAGAATCGCAACACGAACTTGCAGCGATGCACCTATCTGGTGCTGGACGAGGCCGATCGCATGCTGGACATGGGCTTCGAGCCGCAGATCCGCAAGATCATCGAACAGATTCGTCCCGACCGTCAGGTGGTCATGTGGTCCGCCACCTGGCCCAAGGAGGTGCAGGCCCTTGCCGGCGACTTCCTAAACGATTACATCCAAATTAACATTGGCTCGATGAGCCTGTCGGCCAACCACAACATCCGCCAAATCGTCGAGATCTGCACCGAAATGGAGAAGCCGCAGCGCATGGTGCGCCTGCTCAAGGAGATCACTCCCACCAACAACTCGGCCAACAACGGCAACAAGATCATCATATTTGTGGAAACCAAAATTAAGGTAACGTGTCGAGCTTATATATTTTTTGAAACTAGGCTAGATGTGTTCGTCAGTCCGTTTCTTAGCCGGTATTCTAGTTGCATATAAGCCAAAAAATAACTACATACATCCATAACTCTTATATGCCTTTATTATATTTGTCATATATTAAGTCAAAATAACTTAATATGAGTGTAGGTTTTTATATTAGAATTTATCAAAATTGAGCCTGTTAAGATTTGAAAACGTAGCTTTCTAAAAGGTAGAATATATTACAGATTATTTGGTTTCAAATGTTTTTTCCTACCACAAACTATTCTCCGTATTTTTCTTGGTTTTTTTTTTTTTTTCTTAGAATTTCATGATTATGTTTTCATATATTGCGTGGAATTTCTTTTGTCAATAAGTTATACTGCAGGTTTTGTTTAAAGTAATCAAACAGCTGTAGCGTGAAATTAGAAACCAATGCAAAGTTACCCCACTTATTCTCTTTTCGTTTCGCGCCTGCCATAATCCAGGTGGAAGACATTTTGCAGATCATCCGTACCGAGGGCTACACCGCCACCTCGATTCACGGGGACAAGACCCAGAACGAGCGCGATTCGGTGCTGAAGGACTTCCGCAATGGCAAGTCCAACATTCTGATCGCCACCGATGTGGCCTCACGCGGCCTCGACGTGGAGGATCTGCAGTACGTGATCAACTATGATTACCCGAACTCCTCGGAGAACTATGTGCATCGGATCGGACGCACTGGACGCTGCCAGCAGCTGGGCACTGCCTACACCTTCTTCACGCCCGACAATGCCAAGCAGGCGCGTGAGCTGATCTCGGTGCTGGAGGAGGCCGGCCAGACGCCGTCGCAGGCGCTCCTGGATCTGGCTCGCTCGATGCCCAGCTCGGGCGGCTATCGCGGCAACAAGCGTTGGAACAACAACGCTGGCGGTGATCGCAACACTGGCGGCCACAACGGTGTCTATCAGCAGCGCAACAGCAATCCGCTCAACTATCAGGCGGGCAACAGCTATAACAACAATCGTGGCGGCCCGCCCACTGGCGGTGGCTACCAGCAGTATGCCGCTGGCGGCAGTAGCTATCAGCAGAATGGAGCCGGCAACGGCGGCAACTGGAACCGCATGAATCAAATGGCAGGACAGGATGGCGGCCAGCAGCAGCAGCAGCAGCAACGAAACGGAAATACCTATCGCCCGCGGGCCCCGTTCAACAATGGCGGCCCACGTGCCATAATGGGACACCAGGGCGGCGGCGGCGGCGGCGGAGCAGGTGGCGTGGGCGGAACAGCCGGCGTAGGCGGTGGCCCCCAGCCGCATATGGCACCGCAGCAAGGCGGCCAGTACATGCCGCAGGCATACCGCGGCCGTGGACAGTTTGTGCCGCAGGGAGCCGGTGCCGGTGGCATGCCGCCACGTTTCCAGCAGTATCCGAAGCGGGAGTACCAGCAACAGGGAGTGCCCCACTACGGCCAGCAGGCGGTGCAGCATCAGCAACAACAACAGCAGCAGCAGCAGCAGCAACAACAGGTTGGCCAGCAGCCCAAGGCGCCCAAGGATGATGGCAACAAGTATGCCCCACCGCCGCCACCGGCTGCGGTGACCACCTCGCTGGTGCATTACACGCCGGCCAATTCGCCACCGATTGCGGCCGTAGCTGCCGCTGCTGCAGCAGCCGCCGGACGGGCAGCAGCCGTGGCGCCGGCTCCCGGAGCCGCTTACATGTACGATGCGGCCGGGGTATTGACCACGGCCGCGGCGCCGGGCACCAATCCGTATGCCAATCAGTTCAGCATGCCGGCCACCTACTATGCCGCCCAGCATCACCAGTTTGCCCCAGCTGTGGCTGGACCCGGACCAGGACCTGGACAGGCCATCGAGCAGGCAGGACATCAATAAGTGGCAGGATAGAGGACAGTGGATCGTGGATAGCTAAAACAACAGCAGCTTCAGCAACAACAACAACAACACCAACACCAACGACATGGACAAACAATCATCAATTCATGACGACAGTTATAAAATCCAAATGCATATGAGAAATGATAGTAAGAAAGAAAGGATATATAATTTGCCAGTATATAGGAGCAAAGAAACTCCCTAAATTCAAAGACAAAAACTTGCTTATTTGTTCGTATTTTTATTTTCTCTCCACTAACTATTATTAGTGTTTTTTGTGTTCTCCTTCGCTTATCCAAGCATTCGCAGCTTGTGTTTGCGATACATTTCATTTGTTACTATTGTTCTTTGGGCAAGCAGCCGCAAACATCAAAAACCAGGGGTGAGTGTGTCCTAAGTTATTTGTTCAAAACTAGTTTATAATGTCATTTTTTCTCTCCCTCAGCCATAGCATGGATCATCGCCCCAAAAAAAAAACTCCCCCTTCATGTTTTCCGAATAAGGTAAAACGAAACATATTACGTGAACATCGCGAAAGTCAAAATTTAAAGTAGTTTTTAAGCTGACAGTTGCATGTTCTTCGAATGTTTAAAAAGAATTAAGTAGGGTTTATTTTTATTTCTTTTTCGCCACGCAAAATCAAGCGAAACTTAAAACTAGAGACAAACAGACACTGTTAGTTAAGTTAAATATATATATATATATATATTTATTTATATGTATATATATATATATATTATTCATGTGTATTTATCGGTACACGAAGCTAAGAACACAAAAAAAAAAAAAAAAAAAAAAACGAGCACGCAACCAAAAAAAAAAAAATTGAATTCGAAAATTTGTTAAAACTAAAGGGATCGAAAAACCCTTTTCACTAACTTGGTTGGTATGAAATGAACGGTTTGCTTATAATAACACACATTTAAATACATGTTTAATTGTTTTATATACAATACATCCGAGCGAAATTTACAACAAACAATTACAACAAAGGGAAAACTGACAAAATTCTATACAAATTCCATTTAAGAAATCGCAGCTTACGGTTGAGATTATAGTTCACCTTTATTTTGGCCAACTCCAAAATAGTAGAAAAGGGAATGGGCAGCGCTGCTTTGGTAGGAAGTATGTAAAAGAAAAAAAACCTAACAATATACAATCGATAATAATATAAAAACAATCGAAGCAATGGGAGAACACTCACACAGCCACATGGAACCCACACAAGCACACGCACACACACACACCCACACAACAAAACACACCACGAACACCACAAGGACAAGCAAATTTACAGTTTTCATTTAATTTCCCATTTTGATGCATATATGTGTGTAATCTATATGGATATGATTTTTAATGGAGATTAAAACAAAAACTCATTTTGTTTAAGACACTTTATAGAATTTGATAATAATATCCCCCTAACACAACATTCGCATAAATTAACGAGGTTTTTTCAAAAGTTCTATGCAAATACTTGAAAAAAAAAGGAAATTACAATTACATTTTCAATTATTCCAAGACCAAAGAACAGAAAGCAGTTGAAAAGAAAAGAAACGAAAGCGAACAAAAAAGAAAAGACGCCACATTCATCCATAAAAACAAGTAAAGCGAACACGAAACAAGAGGAATAGAAGGAAGAACACAAAAGAATGTTAGAAGATCGAATAATGCCAAGCAATGCCACACGAAAATAATGATAATAATAATACAGCAAACATATTGCATACTTCTGACTATTCCAGAAAGCTCTTTTCCGTTTCCCCATGTGTTACATTTTTTTTTATTTTTGGTTCTTATTTTATTTAGTTGTCCTAGTTTTTCTCTTCCGAATACTTTTGGCCAAAGTTCAGTACGAGTTAATAAGTAGTAGTAACATTAATTGGCAGCTCCAGTTATATAGTTAGCAGTAATATATCCATATATCGTCTGTCCAACCCAAGCAGTTGTCCATGTTGTTGCAAGCAGTGTGTTGTCCTTCGCCATGGGAAAGCAGTACAAAAAGCTGAAGAATTTTGGGAAGACGTAACGGACACAAGGGAATTATTCTACAGAGGAAATGTGTGAGAACACAAAGCAAATAGATGAAAATCATGTAGATTATATTATATATATATTTGTTAGCCGATCGGGGGAGTGAAAGGAACCATTCTATTAATTTTTTTTGTATAAGTTTTCTACGTGTACGGTTTTTTTTTTTTTAGCAAATAAAAATCTGGAAAAACAAAAGGGAACATTTTTATACGGTATATCGTATCTCATTTTAAAGCAAAAGGGGGAAAGAAAGCCCGTTAATTGATACAGAAGAAAGTCCTTTTTAGTTCATTTCATATTTGGGTTTTTTTTTGGGGTTTTTAGATTTGTCAAACATTTTGAAAATCATTGGAGACGACGGGAACGGGGAACTACAACTAAATATTATTATTTTTTGTATGTACTCTAGGCGTATACGCAAAGTTACAAAGTGAACAAAAGGTTTTATTTTAATAATTTCCTACTTCTTAATTATGATTTCGATGCAACCGAATTGTGATGATGTGATAGACTTATATAAACAAACGAAAATACAAAAATACTAATTAATAACCAATTTAAATGAAGTAACCGCTAGGCCCCCAAAAAGGCCAGGCCAAAAAAACTGAAAACTGAAACTGAAGCAGAGGCAGCTGAAACTGAAGCTGAAATCAGTATCTGAACCAGAAGAGAAATATGAATATATGTTATGTATTTGTATTATTGTCGTTGTCGTTGTCGCTTATAGACAATGTCTGATGGCTACAATATAATGTATTATGGATGACTTGAGGCATACATTCTTTTTTTGAAGAAATAAAACTATAGAGCGCGATATTTGTATTGTATTTATCTATAAGTTGTTGTGTACACACTGCGAAAAACAAACAAACCAAACAACAAACTAAAAAAAAAAAAAAGCAAAAAAACACGGAAACACAAAACCAAAACAAAACGAAAAAACGAGAAAAAAAAAGCAAAAGAAGTTGAAACTGATAAAATTTAAGAGTAACTGATACCGAAAGTCCCGAAAAAATAAGGGGAAAGCGGCGATTTGTTGCCCCCTTCAATTTTTTGAGGCATATCCTTTGTTTAAGTCCTGATTGATCGCTCTATTTCTGTCTCTCTCTCTTTCTCTCTCAGCCCCCTTTTCACCCCTATACGATATATTTCTCGCTCGCAGTCTCTTTAAAACGATAGATTTAAAACGATAGAAATTCGCGTATACATATATTTTTGAAAGTATAGAATTGCAACTTTTGAAAAAATGCAACCAAAAATAAAGACGAAAGACTAAAGCCAAAAACAAAATGAATTCAATTGTTTGAAGCAAGAACAAGAAAATAACGGAGAAAACGCAACGAAGTGCCGTTATTTCGATAGTTTGTATAGCTGTTTTTTTTTTTTCTGTTCGTTTACTTAGAACTAAAAATCGTTTACACACACACCCACAAACACATACGCGTTTTTGGTTTAGTTTTTGTTTTTGAGTTTGTTTTACTTTTTTTTTTTTGTTTTTCGTTTTAAGTTTTCGTTGGTAAACCAAAATATATATATGTGTATGTATGGGCATACATATGTATCTATGTCGTAGGCGATAAAGTGAATGCATTTAACGTTACAGTGCAACGCGCACAAGTGCCAAAAATGCAGCAAAAAAATACACCCGCACACACCCACGCACTCTCACACACACACATACAACAAACACAAACACACACAAATACACATCGAAACATACAAAAATTTCTTATAGATGATACAAACACAAACGAACATACAACATATTTACAGTGGGCAAAAAAAAAAGTTTAAAGTGGACTTTAAAGTGTTCGTATGGTCCACTGTACATACATACAAGACCTACAAAAAACAAGCATACTCTTAAGCGCCAATATTAGGAGCGGCTTTTGGGGGTTCTAAAACCATTAAACACCAAACTTGTTGGGCAAAAACATTTAGAAGCAGCAGTCAGATCGTAAGTTATAAGCTAAATTTGCCATCGGCAGACGACGGAACTAACTTAAAGATAATAAAAAAAAGTTTAAACCAAAACCCATTGTGATAACAGCTGCGTAAATGAAACACGTTAGAACCTTACTTGTATTTCGATTGCAATTCGATAAAACGGGGATCCCCCACTAAGTCCTAAATAATACAAATTCAATCAAAAGCAAGCAAGCCAACAATTTATCCAAACTAGTTTTTAAACAAATACAAAACTCACCCAGCCGCACATACACACGTATTTTATTGATTTAAAAAAAGGAGAAAAACTTTTCTTGATTTTCATTTGTTGTGTTGATCAATGCAAATTTTAGCGAAAAAAAGAAAACCAGAAAACTCAAATGCAAATTCTTAGCCATTTCGAAGGAGCGTGCATTTAAACATTTAAAACATTACATTATATATATATATATACACTTGCATATATTCAAAGCAAACCATTTGAATAAATTCTAAATATTACTATAAATCACTAACACAAAATGCAACTGAGGAATCAGACGATATACATATATACAAGCATACAAGTTAATGCTAATAAACAAGAAGCCAAGCAAACGCGTTTGAATGAATGTTTGCAGCTTAAGCTAAGTTAGCACACACAATATTATATTAATTATAACAGATCAATATAGGTATGCAATATAATGCATATATTTATAATGCACCGCCTCCCCTTTTTCCGTCTCCAAAACAAAAGAAAATCGGGACGGAAGAGGGCGAAAACTAACGGAAAAATCTAAATTGTAATCAATTTACCTATCTTAGACTAGGTTATACGAACCCATAAACATACCCCGTCCCCATTTAGGAATTGGACAACCAAATTCCCACTCCCATCACCCTAAATCCCAAATTGTTAAACACGAAAACCTAAAAAAAAAAACATAATTATGAAATATGTATGTAACGGAAATCCTTACAAAAAACGGAATAGATATCTTCTATGTAATAAATAAACGACAACAAAAATCACTTTTAAATTAATTATATTTTTTGGTTTCCTTTTTTGGGCAAATGGTATTTTCAGTTTTTATAAAGTTCCAAGCGTACGTGAATCCAAAGGGGAATATAGAGTGGTAGGTATGAAAAAAGTATGTATTAATCTAAATGTTTAAAGTTTAGCATTATATAACTTATAAAAATGGTACATTTTTAGAATAATTTGAATTATTTTTAGGTCACGCTAAACTTTAAGAGTATGTAAAAATTAATAAAATAAACTTTAAAATTACCAAAAAAAAGTTATTGAATACATAGAGGTTAGATAGGAAAAACACGTTCGATTCGAATCACAATTCCCATAATACTTCTTTATTGAAACGCCCACACATTCCGACCGGATTGCCAGTTGCCCAGATCGAAAGTGCGATGGCGTGTGTATAAGTGCTGCCTCCCGACATTTTAGATTCGCCGGAGAGGCGATAACAAAGCCCACAACATCAATATCAATAGGTTGCGAAGAGTCAATTTCGGACCCTCGGAACAGATAAGAGAACATTATGGTAAACACAGGTTGATATCATAATTTGTATTGGTATTAATCAATTAACATCCAAATATCCAAAGCGTAGACATACAGACAGGACCCGAAGATCCACAGACGAGTAAACATGGGGTTAGCGGGCTTACATAACTGGCAACTGGCCTTCCTATTCATACAGTTACAGTTACAGTATAAGTATAGTATATAAAATTAACTAATTCATTTATAAAAAGCAATCATCAAACTCCAAGCCACGCCGCTCCCCAGCAGTTGGTTTGTTTGGTTGTTTGTTTGTTTGTTTGTTGGTGTTATCCTTTATCCTTTTGTGTGGTCTTTGTTTTGCATTATCTGGTGTTGTTTCCTGTTTGCTTGAGAGGATTAGAGGAGTAGGGAATGAGATGGTTGGCTGCCGTCTCCCGCCTGCCTAAGTGAAGCTGCAGCAGGAGTTTGTCTTTTTCGCCGTCTTGTAGAACGCCTTGCTCTGCAGCGACAGTTTCTCCGACTTGCTGACCATGTCGTCCAGCTTTTCGCCACGCTCCAGCACTGCCTCGATGGTGTTCTTCAGGATGATCTTCGTTTCGTCCAGGTCGTTTTGCATTTTCGTCAGCGGATCGGCCTCGACGGGATTCTGGTAGCGTGCCAGAAACGCTGGCAGCAAATCGAACGAGATGGTGGCCTCCGTGCCATTGGGCCACTGATCCGCCGACACCTTGGCCGTGAAATCGTCCAGGATCTTTGTGATGAGGGTGTGGGCCACGCGATGCGGGTACTCATGATCGGCGATCAGCACACCGGCCAGACTGTCTGCCCGCACATAGACGTGGCACATGTAGGCATCCTGTTTCACCGATTGCCGCAACGCCGGCTGTGTGCGCTCCACAATTGTCTTGGACGCGAAGCTGCAAGTGGGTGGAGAGTTGGTGGTGGGTGATTGGATGATTGGATGCTCTGAGCCTGCGCCGTTGTACTCACGTCATGAACTCGTTGACGGTGCCACGTTGGAAAAAGGAGAAGGACTGCAGGTCGGCGGTCGTCTTCAGGAGACGCGCCTCGCTGGCTCCCTTGTGGAAGATGCTCAATGCGAACAGCTTGACCATTTTAATGGGGGCTACGTCGATCTGATCTGCGGGCTGCGAAACTGTTGATGTGGGCTGAAGTGGGCTCCTGGGGCACTTGGCGTTATCCTGGCTTATCCTGCGTTGCTCCGGCGGGTGGATTTCAACTGGGGCGCACTGGCATCCGTGGAAATGTGGAAAAGTCCGACAAGTGAGTTTGTTTAACGCAGTAAATCTGTGCCGTCCCCTGTATATGTGTATGTGTGTATTGTACAGTGGTGTGTCAGCCCAGAAACTAGAGATGACACTCCGAAGCGATTGGACTATCGATTTCAGCCAGCAAAGTAAAAAGCTTTTCCATCAGTTAAAAAATGCACTTTCCAACGCCTAGTTATCAATAAAGATTTAATCAAAGAACCAAACATTGACTGCACAAACATTTTTTTTTGTCTTTAAGCTATTTTTTTTTCTACTTTTACTTTACACTTGAAAGAAACATACCACAATCTTGCCCTGGCTACTTATTTAAGACTTAACAAGGACTTTTGTAATACGGTAGTCTGTTTTAAAGAAAAACTTCTGTTATGCACAGAATAATATTGATAAACATGTTTAATATCTATTATTGTTAGTTTTTTTATAATATTTAATAACTATACAACTATACAAATTTTTAACAAATTACTCAATTTATCGCTAGTGAAATGGCTATCGCTAGAGTCGCTAGAAACATCGATAGGCAATAATCGGCGGTTATAAATGTAACGGTCTTTTCCGGCATTGCATTGAAAGCTGGCTAGTTTCATTAATAAACTTAAAAAAAAAAACAAAAAGGAAACAATGGCAAAGCGCGTAAAATTCCAACGTCTGGCGAAGATGCAGCCCACGATGACCCACTTCTCCACGGTGGCGCTGATCGTGTCCAAATCCTCGCCGAATATATTCTACGACAAGATGAGTGGCATCGAGCGTGGAGTCCTCACCCTGACGATCCGGGACTCACCCAACGACCTGACCATTTGCAAGTGCTGGGGCCAACGGGCCTGTGTGGACGAGTACGCGGCCATGTTCCACATCGGTCATGTGGTGGATGTGGTGGACGCCAAGGTGATGTCCCTGCCGGAGGCTCCGCCGGGTGAGCAACGTTACCATCCGCAGACAACCCTACCCAGCGCCCTGGTGGTCAACGAGGGATTCGGCTATGTGGTGCGACATAATAGCGATGACTCCGACACCATAATGGTCCTCCAGCAGCTGCTCCAACGCCCCATCAAGCCTGTGGCCGCGGCTCTCAAGCTGGCCGATGTGCGTTCCGGCCTGGGAAGCCCCGATAAGATGATCGCCACGTATGTGGATCTACTGGTGGCCGTCGCTGCAGTGCGTCCAGTGCGTGAGATCAAGCGAAAGGTGCCGGCGACGGGGCACAGCAAGGTCCAGGATCTGCTGCACTGCCTGGAGGTCATCGTGATCGATGCCAGCTGTCCGGAGGGAATGCTGCTCTCTATTTGGCAGGCGGATTGGATACGGCGTGCCCAGCAATGGCAGCCACGTCGCACTCTCCTCCATTTGGTGGACGTGCGTGTCTCCTACTCGGACTTCCATCGTTGTCCCGTGCTCTCCCATTCGAATTGTACGCTCATGGGCGAGAATCCCCTGGTGGCTGGCGAGGATTGCCGCCTGTTGCTGGCCTTCGCCGCCACTGTGCCGCTCAAGAGCTTTGATGGCTGCGCCCAGGCAGAGCTGGACAACCTGCCGGCAGGTGGGTGATGGTTGTCACAAATCGATGGTCCCTTATCTGACTTATATACTCTTGATCCTGCACAGCTGCCAGCATCCAAGTCCAGATGACGGTGAGACAGATCTATTCCCGCGCTGAGGGCGAGTTGCAGGATGCTTCCATCAACCAGTTTACATCCGTGCTGTATGGAATGGTCACCAAATTCGACTTGGATGGATTTTCAAAGCACATCAACAGAAAGTGGCAAGTGTTTTGGCAGTGAAAAGCGTTTTTTCCTATTTCGTAAATATTTCAATAACAGTCAAAGTTCATCCATTTTCTAATTTTTTTTATAAAAAAAAACTATTTAAATTAAAAAAAAACTCAATCAAAATTAAAATTGTAAATAAATAAAATATAAGTACTTCACCTTTTTCAATAAGATTTCAAAGTCTGATTTTATTAATATGCATTAACTTTCAAAAACTTAATTTGCATTACTTTCTATTCTGTTGTATAAGTTCTCATAACAAAATGTCTTTAGTTTAAAACTCAAATTTATCCTACTTTTGCTCCCATTTCAATAACAAATGCTTATGTTAATTAACATTATTATTATTTATTTAATTCAAAGAATTAAAATTCTCGTAACCATAATTATTCTTTTTTTTTAAAACTTTGTTTCATTATAATTAACTCGCTTTAAATATCAATAGTTTTATTATTATTAATTTTTTTATTTTTTTAAATTAAAATAAACCGTTTTGTTTTTTAATTCAAATGAAAAGTTTTTTGGTAGCCACAAAAGTAAAATAATAATTAATTTGTAACAACTTTGTGAAATTTTAGCACCGCCTGTGAACGCCTCATACCGCGAAATCTGGAGGATTGCTCTACGGAAGCCTGTCGGATGGAGTTTTTGCTGGCCAATGATGGCCCCAGATATACCAGCTACTTCAACATCAACATTCACTTATCGGATCAGACGGGCACCCTCGTCGAGACCCGGTTAGCTGGCAATCCGGCGGAGCGGATTTTGGGCCTCCGGGCGGAGGAATTCGAGCGACTGGGGGAGCATGATAAAAGCGAGCTAAAGTGGCGCTTCCTACTCAAATACTTCGAGGCAAGATTGCTGGTGAGGAAGCCGGCGGGGATGCACAAGAATCTCGTGGTCGTGGTCGTCGACATGCAAGCCATTCCCCTGGACAAGCTCGTCGAGAAGGTGGCCGTATTTTAGATGTTATGCCCATCCCATACACACGACTGGCGAGATCTACATAAATAGCGATCTTTATTTCGCATTTTCACATAAAAGTGTACAACTGCAATACATAAATAGATTGAAAGCGCCTAGAAGGTCTACCTGGATGTGGGTCTTAAGTGGGATACGTTTGGCTCACTGGGATGAATCGTCAAAGTGCCATTTTGCCTAGTACTAGAATGGTTGTGGATTGGACGTTTCAGGTCCATAAAACAGTTTTCGGTCGTTATTCAATTTACTAATTTCGATTTGTGTACTTAATTTGGTATCAAAATGCAATTGGATGCAATCCAAATGCTATAGGATTAATACTTCTTCGAAGTCCTCACTTGCGACTGTTTTATTGTTATCAAACGCACTGTATTTCAGACAGCCTCATCCAACATTTAGTCATAAAGGTTATTTGATACCATAGTACTTAACAATTATGTCCAATAAAATGTAAAGTACAATTTTCGGTCAGTAAGGAATATTTTAAATACAAATTTTAATTACAGTGTAAAAGGTTTTTAAATACAAATTCGAAATAAGAATACAGTTGTTGTTGGACTATTGGGAAAGTGATAAAATAAACTATAAGTAACAGATAAAAGGGTTTAATCGAAATCAAACATAAATCTTAGAGTTAAACAATAATTAAATTAAAATCCTGCCTTTAAAGAATCACCAAATGGAGTAAATATAAAGTTGTGACCTCTATGCCTGCCTTATGGCCATGGAACGCACTGTTTAATACGCTTACACCTTTGCCTCGAACTAATCTCACCTGTTTTTTGTGGTCTACAATCTTTTCTTGTGGGGCAAACGAATCTGCAGCTGGAGCGGAATGGGGATCACAGGCACCGGACTCACCAGCTGCCAGCTGCAGACGCAACTTTGGGCTCAATACCCCTGCTACTAAACTAAATATCTATAATCAATCAAAGCTGAGTGTCACATTTCACTATACGAGTATATAAGTATATAAACAACAATTTGGTACAACGCTTAATACTGACCTATATACAGACATATACACATAACAAACAAACAAATCCGGCTACAGGACGTGATTGTGGACAAACGAATCAACATGGGGCTAATAAATCAATTGGTTTTTTTTGGAATCTGCATTTTGTACAGGGAATGATACTGGTAACTACTGAGTTCTTTTGTGGCCCTACTTAACTATTCCTCGTGATCACTTTCTCCGGCTAAATCGACAACATCCACCGATCCGAAAGAGATGCAGAGAGAGCATTAAACATCAAACATAAAATCGAAACAAAACGAAAAACATAAATAAAAAACAAAAAAAACAGAGGCTTAAGTTAAAGTAAAGTACTCTACTTGGAGCTGCCCGCCTGCGAATGGTGGTGGTGGTGGTGCTGCTGCTGCTGCTGCTGGTGGTGGTGGTGGGATGCGTGGTGGTAGTGCGATTGGTGGTGCGACCCGGCTGATGCTCCACCGCCGAGGGCGACGCTTCCGCTCGCCGAGGATCCGCCCGTCGTCGCTGAGGATCCGGACTGATGGTTCTGGTGTCCCGCCACCGATGCACCACTGTGGTTCAGCGAGGGCAGCGAAGCGGATGCCGTGGCCGCCACCAGTGCCGCCGCTGCTGAGGCAGCTGCCGCTCCAGCGGTGGCCGTATTTAACTTGGCGTTGGTTCCGTTGGCATTGCTCACCCGCAGCTGGCGGATTTCGGGGAAAAACTCAATCATCAGTATCTCGAGCAGCTCCTGAAGATAGAAAATGACAATGTTTGGTTGGCAAACTTAGTTCATCACATACAGTTGCGGGCAAAACAATATGTTATAATGTAAAGTGCTCAAAAAACATACACAAAGTGAGATTCAAAAACAATTTTTATATTGTTTTAGGTTTTTAAAAACAAATTTAAACTGTTCAAAATTTCTTAAAATCTCGTTTTACATATGCAATAATTTAAGAATAGTTTAATCAAATAAACATGAACATTCCTCAACTTAATACCCGCAAAAGTTATAGTCCAAACCAACCAAAAACAACTCACATTTTTAGAAAGATTTCAAATTATCTACGAAATATAAACTAATTATTATGTAGGTATATAAATAAATCAGAAAATGAATATATATGTATAAAATTATAAGTAGCTAAAAAAAAAATTGGATCTATAATATAAAACTACTCCACGTGCTAAAGGCCTCTAGCAGTTTAGTTTTAACTATATGCTAGCATTGTATAAATAAATAAATAAATGCATATTTTTTCACGAAAATATAACAACGTTTTTCAAAAGCTAAAAAACAATTCGATTTTTTGAGCGCAACTGTTATTGTGGAAAAGCTGTCCAAATGCCCAGCACTCACGTAGAAAAGCTGCTTGTTGTAGGCGGGATTCTGCAGCGCCTCGAACACCTTGAGGACACCTCGCTTGGCCGCCTGGGCGCCGACCAGGTTGCACAGCACCTCCGGTATGTGATCGGTGAGCAGGGCCTTGGCCGCCGTGGTCGTCATCTCGCGCATGTCCTCCGATCGCGTTGGATAGGCGGAGGCCAGGACGCCGCCCGGCCAAAATGACTTGAGGATGGCCGAAAAGTAGTTGTGCAGCATGGACTCCTCGAAGAGATAGGCCACCGACTCACGGATCTGGCGATTGATCGTCCGGCCGTATGTGATTTGGACAAAGGAGATGAGGCTCTTGCGCAGCCATTTGAACACACCGCCCATGTCGAAGATCTCGCCCATGAGGGCGTACATTGGTTCCGCTATCGAATCCTTGCTATCCAAATCGGCAGCCAGCAATTTGGCCTCTCCGCCCGACTCGCCATCCAGATACGTGGATATGTCCTCGTCGTCCCGCTGCAGCCCCCAAAACGGATCGGTGGCCTTGGTGGCCTCGTGTGCCTTGCCAGCATCGCTGCGAAAGAGCGTGGCCAGCGAGAACTTGGACTTCTTTGGCGAGGGCAACGATTGCTTCAGGTGATCGGAACTGGGGCTGAGAAACGTGTAGATGGCCTCGCTGCCATTCAGATGGTCGTCTTCCAGGATGAACTATGTGATGGACAATACAAAACGTGTATCAATACAAAACGGCTCAAGAGTTTCATGTGTCAAGTACAATATATAGCCTACATTCAAGAACTTTTGAATCTGTGCCTTGGCCTTCTCTTGGCCATGTCGATCGGTTTTCAGAAAAAAGAACTTGAAGTTCGTTGGCAGGTCGATGGCCTTCAGGTTGGAGCTAACGTGGCGCAGTTTCCGCTGCAACTCCTTAAAAAAAAAAAAAAGGTATAAATAAGCAACATTAATAGGTTATGCTCCTGAGGCATCGTCTTAAGTTGAATACCCAACCCACATGCACTTGGTTGAGGGAGCGCATCACCACCCAGCCACTGGAGATGCCCGAGGGACGCTTGCGAAGATTGGCATGGCCGCCGTCACCGTTTTTCGATGACGTCGTCGGCTGAACTGGGGCATTGATGTCCTCGTCCACATGCACCAGGATCATGAACTGCAACGATTCCTTCTCATCGGATACCTGAAGAGATAGAAATCGCTAACATAAGCTATCCTTTTGATGGGCAAAACCGTGAAGTCCTCACCTCCACACTCTGTATGGTGGCCTTCCACTTGCCCAGGTGCTCCGTCCAGGCGTCCGTGCGCCGCAAATGTGCCTCCGTCTGGCGTTTCTCGCTCTTCAGCCACTCCATCTCCTTCTCGAGTATGGAGAGGACCTTGGACTCCGGCTTCACCGAGTACTTGAGGGCGTCCAGCGCCTGGTTCTTCTTGTCAATGCGCTCCTGTATTTGTTCCAACTTTCGGCGTGCATACGATGTGTGGGCGGCCACATCGATGGCACCGCCGGCACCGCCATTAAGGCCATCCGTTGCACCAGGATGCTCATCCGCCAGCGGCTCCGGGGCATCGCCCATGGGGTGGCACATCATCAGCGTGGGATCGGCTATCTCATTGGAGTCCAGCGCCTCCTTCAGCTGGCGGTACTGATCGCTCAGCACGAATGGCGGATAGTACTTCTCCTCCAGTGTGCGCAGTACGTTGCGCTGGATCTCAAAGAAGATGTCCGGATCGGCATCGCCCAGCAGGAACGTTTCGATCAGCTTGCGTTCGTGCTTGTCGATCTGTATCTCCGATTTGGGCACCCGGATGTACGTGTAGAAGATCTCGGTGCCCAACTGGTGGCTGACCGACTTGTGCGCATGCTTGATCTCCTCCACGGCCAGGTAGAAGCCGATCAGGGCGCTCGCCTTCAGTGGCTCCAGGAACAGGGTGAAGTAGCGACGGCCCACCGCCGTGTTCAGGATCTCAACCAGCGTCAGGTCCTGTACACATCAATTTGGGTGATTAGTAATTTAGGGATAAAAAAAAAATCCCGGGGTCAACAAATTGTTCTAAGCTCATCATTACAATGAGCCTTTCTTAGCTAGACAAGTAATGTAAGTTTTCACTTAAAACAAAACAATTTTACAAATAGTTCAACAATAAACAAATTTTATTAAAATTAGAAAATAGCTGAAAGGGGTTTAGTATAACCATTAAATGCACTGAGTAAGTTCATAAATATCAAATAATATCATATTCCGAGAACTAAAAGATATATAACTTCTATTTAAAAACTAAAAACGAAAAAAGTGAGTTGTTAAGTACAACCTACATTATAATACATTGTTATCAAATGTAAAAAAATCGTTTATAACTTTTAAAACCTAAAATATAAAGCAATTATATAAAAAGTTGCTTATAAAGTTTCAAAATAAATTAATTAAATTCAACAAATTAAAATAAATAAAAAAAAGTAAAAGTACATGCTACATATATTTTACTAATTGTTATTAATTGTCAAAAAAAATCGTCAATAACTTTTACCAGCTTAAATAATAAGCATATTACATAAAAAGTTATATATGTATATGTAAAAATAAATAAATTAAATTTAACAAATAAAAATAAATAAAAACAAAAACAAAAAAGCCCATTGATAACTATTTGTTACAACATGATAAACTTGAATATTATCAAATGTCAACAATTTCATAAAATGCTACAAATTTAAAGTGCCTGCAGTTGTTATTTAAACCTACTGTTTGGAATAGCTACTTTTGTTTAAAGTTTAAATAGGTATGATGGGTATTCTCCATCAGGGATTACTTACAACATCGCTGGAGTAGTTGCCATTCCAGCCGAACTTGGCCAGGTTCTTCTCGCACTCGTTTTTGGCCATCGTGAGCTGGCGGACGTAGCGCTTCAGCCGCACGGCGGCCGTAAGCTCCGACTTGGAGAGCGAGTGGTCCTCGTGGTCCGGATCGAGGCCTTTGGCACGCTGCAGGTTCTGCATGGTGGTGGCATGCATCAGGTCGTTCACAATGCTCTTGCGGATGAGCGAGAGCTCCTCGAGGTTGCCCGAGTTGTTGATGATCTTGAGGAAGTCCTCGAAGCTGGCTGCATACTCGTAGCTCCGCTTGCTCATCGCCGCCGCCGCCAAACGGGTCTCAATGTTCTGTACCACCTTCTGGTTGATGTAGTCCGGTGCGGTTAGCATTTTGATCATCGGAAAGAATACTAAATGGATGGAATGGAATGAATTAGTGATGGATCAGTGAGACAGATCCCGACCACTACTCACTCTTGTAGGAGAGAATCTCGCTAAGCAGAACCTTCAAGGGTGGCAAAGAGTAGCCGCGAGGCAGCAGCAGGATCACCATAATCTCGCACAGCTTGCGCAGGAATTCCATCTCCTTCTCCTCGTCGGCGAGGTACGAGTTGGTACTAAAAACTGGCGGCGAATTTGTATCAGCCCTGCAAAATAAAAATAAGAAACAATTAATAAATGAAGTACTTAATATTGTAGTTTTACCCTAAGCTCGATTAATCGTAAAACAATAGAATGAAAAGTAATGACAGGCAATTTCCGCTTATAGATTACCAACTTAATGATTTGTGATTGATGACTATTCTCTGGCGCATATAAATGACTTTTAATTCTACGTATTGCATTCTTTCATGATAAAGTAAACTTATTGTGGCTGCAAGAGTATAAAACAAAGAATCAAATTTCAATTTATATCTTAATATATCTTATCAAAAATACTATATCTTGGATTTCTTTGTTTTTAAGCATGATTAAAAAATGTGTTAATACTAATCTCACAATTGCATGGCATATTTTGGTACTTATATTATAAAAATGTGTCTTTGATTGAAAAGGTTAATGACATTGGTTTTTAACAAAGTTAAAATAAAATGAAAACTATAATTATTTTGCTTAGTTTAGTAATGAGCAATGAGCTTATCAGTTTCTTAAACCTTCAAATATTTGTTTTATAATAAATCCATTTCCTTGAATTGTGAATATTTGATATATATATACATATATATATATATAGAGAGAGCTAGATAAAGGGCTTTAGATAGGCGACGTAATTACAATTAGAGAAGAACTTACGCTCTGGCCTCGGCAATGCGAATCTTCTCGAGATGCACTGTCACCCGGTTGACCATGTCCACGGCTATGATCTTGGCGGCATCCATCCTGGTGGCCCGCTCATGAATCTTCTGTATGGCATTCCACAGATCCTCGCGCACCACATCGTTGATCAGCTTGGGCTTGGTGACCACATACCTGGGACACAGTTAAACTATCAGTCTGAGATTACAATGGATTAAATGGCAAGCTCACCCCAACCAGGGCAACATAAAGTCCCGCAGCACATACTCAATGATCTGCTGGAGCTGCAGATCCACTGTTTTACCGAATATCAATGGCAGATTCGATGGATTCTTGATGGGCTTTGGCAGATCAAAGATGTTGCTCCTGCGGATCGGATATAGATTGCTATAAAGAGTATATAACAGGGGGGGGGAACAAAGTCCGGAACTCACTTGGTGGCATTGTAGAGCAGTCGCGAGGACACGCGACTCGGTGGCGTCGGCTCGTTGGTGGTGAATATATAATGGATATAGACGGTGCCGGCCACAGCTGTGGACGAGATAAGGGCAATTTAGATATTTGGCAATTTTAATTAGGCGCTTACGCTCCAAACTGATTGGCCGATTGGATGAGGTGGATAAGGTGACTCATTCAGCCATATATATGGCCTATACTATACTATTATGTGTGTGTTCCAGAGGCGGAAGACTTACCAGCAAAGACCAAGACCAGAGAATAGACCACGAAGGCGAAGAACAGAAAGAAGGTGGGATAATACCAGATGACGGCCAGCAGTGTCAGCGTGATGCCCGAAACAATAATCCTCCAGTTTAATTGCAGTGCACGCAGTAGTCTGTAATGTAATGGATTTTTGGTTATCTCTTGGATTCAATGTGAAGGGACTTAATGTGATGGGATTTGTGTACCCACCTGGTGGCCAGGAGCGTCAGGCGCTGCGTGGTCGTGGCGCATGGCTCCGGTTCGATGGGGAACAGTGGCAAGCGGTGGCGACTCTCCATGGCGATGGCGTCCACTGCGTACTCCTCCGATTCCATCGGCCAATTGACACTCCAAATCCGGGCAATCACTGACTCTCCTCCTTATTGACTGCTTGTCGTCTTCTGAATATTTGATGACTTTCGTACATTTTCGACCCGCTGGCTGGCCATTAAAAATAGTTCTCAACAATTGCGTCAATTCCGCTTTGCTCTAATGTGTATGGTATGGTGTCCACTACCTCCTCCTCCTTCTCCTCCTCCTCCTCCTACAGCACTTTCGATGCCCTCCACGAATGAAAACCGAACACAAATATGGTATCGTATCGGTTTTTGGAGAAGCGTAGCGTAGCGTCGCTTATGGAATATATATTTATGTATGTATATATATTGGGGCAGATACAGAGAAGACAGCTGGCTGGGAATCGGAATCACAACTGTCAGCTATATGTGCTAAATCAATACTGGGCGACGCTGCGGATCCCGCAACAAGTTGATTGGCCAGCTTTATCCGGAGTTTCCAATTTCCGTGGAAATCATAACAAGGCGCAGTTCTGATTGCCTGCTTGTTGTTGTTGTTGCTGCTGCTGTTGTTGTTGTTGTTGTTGCTGCTGCTGGCGCTGCCGCTGCGCAGTTGGGATCGGTTGTGGGGCTTATCGGCCCTGATAGTACGTCACGCCCGGCTATCCACTATCCACTATCTTTACTGTTATGTTTATAAAAACACATATGTATATGTATGTACATATATCCAACCCTAACCCACCGATAGCCCAAAGGGCCCGCCTATCGGTGGCCCATCGATAGTTTGCAATTATCGGGACCATCACTAATCGACTTCCTTATTCAAATCGACAATTCAAATAGGAATTGAAAATTTAAATAAAATCTAACTGGAACTTGTGAACTCGTGGAATAATATCATTTTACAGTGCTGATATATAGTTAACAAATTAAAATACAAAGTATTAATAAAGAAAATCCTATCAATAATATTTTTTTTAATTTTCTGTCAAACTAAACTCAAACAAGTCTAATCAAACTAGTCTAGAAAACTAAAACTAATTTTCTTGTCAAAAGTAAAATATATTCTTTTCAATGACGTCAAAATGACGTAAAATCTAGCTCACAAAATAATTGATTATAAAAAAAAGTTGTATCTTACAAGTTTGGTGAAAGCAATAAGACATATAAATTTGTATAAAAGGCTCTTGTTAAAAAAAAAAGAATTCATAAGAATGCTATGGCATTTAAAATAAAAAAAAAAACATGAGTACAATTTTTTTTTTAGTATATGCACCAATGTAACTTAAATTCCAAAATAGTTAATACAATTTGTATACAAAGGTTTGCAAAAATAAAAGAAAAACGGCATAAATACAGAAATAACAATTTTTTTAACACAGATTATGTTTCTTATTTTTTCGTTTGTTAAATATCGAAGTCCACCTAGAAACCCAGCGCTTAATCTCTGAAGGGCCTGAAATAATAGGCATTGCTTATGATGAAAAACATGATATACATATGTACAGGGTACATATATGTATATCCAGTGACTTTGTGTTTGCACACATTTTTTTTATTGTTTACATGACATGGCTGTTTGCGAATCTTTCAGTGTTTTTCAATGACAAAAACTAACTAGACTTAGTTTATTTGGGAAACATTTTTTTGGTATTTCAAGCTTTCTGTTTGTTTGTTCGTATGACAAGCGGTGCTTTCACAAGCTACATATATGACTTGCCAGATTCCCCCACAACCCAACGAACTCTTCACCACCCCTGTGTGACTCCCAATAAATGCTTTCGGCTCCTTGATCGAGTCCCAATCCTTTACTGCTCCTTGGCCAGGCGGCGCAGGGCACGTTTCCGAGTGCCCAGGATGTTCTTCAGCACCACGCTGCGGGCGAACTGCTCTCCGAAAACGGCCTCCGTGAAGTGGATGACCAGCTGGAGCAGGGCATGTGGCAGGTAGCCAGCCGTCTGGGTGGCAATGCCCAAGGTGGACAGAGCCGAGCGCACATACGTCTCCGGCGAGGGAGCGAACACGCTGGCCTTGCGGATCTTCGACATGTTGGTGGCCACGAAGCCCGGCTGGACACTCTGGATGAGGATGCCGTGCTCCTTGTACTCCGTCTGCAGATCGTCGCTGAATTTGTTCACGAAGGCCTGCAAATCAAACGAAATTGGTAATGTAATTTCATTACAACAGTTGTAAATTAATATAGTAAACTAATTATAAAGGAAGCAAAGAAAACAAAACTTGCATAGGTAAACTTCTGAAAAAAATAATGAATTCTGAGAGATAATATTAAAGCTAAAAGGATCCTAATCAATGTAGCATATGCAGTGATGCATTTTAACTAGCTAAGGTACAATGTTTAAAACAAATACTTCGAGTGAATAAAGTATTTTAAGTACAATGGCATTCTGTTTGACTATAAAAGCATTCTCCATGTGAATCCTCACCTTGGTGGAACTATAAACGCTCAGTAGGGGATTGGGAATGACTCCGGCGGTGGAGGACAGGTTGATGATCACTCCGCGACGCTGGGCAATCATGCCCGGCAGGAATAGTGCGGTCATGTGCGTCACCGAGTGAATGTTGGCAGCCACAATGTCGCGCAGGAACTTCGGATCGGCCTTATAGCAGTCCAGGAAGTACTCCGGATGGCTGTAGCTGATGCCCACGTTGTTGACCAGCACTCCGATGTTCAGGCCAGTGGTCTTTTCGCGGATCTTCTCGTAGATCTCGGCACCGCCGGTGAAGTCCACATCGATCACACGCACCTCCACGCCGTATTTATCTCCTGAAAGTAGGCAGCAGAGCGTGATTAAAGTTAGTTAAGAGGTCTTCAACTGCCGTTAGCTAAACTTACCTATCTCCTTGGCCACCACATTCAGTTTTTCCAGGGATCTACTTATCAGCACTAGCTTCAAGCCCCTGCGAGCCAGCTAAAAACGTGTAAATAAATATTGATTTAGTATTTAAAAAGCTTAAAAGTTAGTAACCCATTTTTAGATGGTGCTTACAAATTATTAATTTAGGTAGTCGGGTTCACTATTCAATTAGTGCAATTGTAATGAAAGTCAATTATAGGCACTGTGTAATAGAAATATTATAACCAACCATGACATGACTCCAAGTTCAGGAAGCAAACAAACTAGATTTAGAAAACTGTTTTCTTTGAAAGACTTTCAAGGTGCAACTAAATAGGCAGGCAGAACGGTTTTGGCTTTTAAGTAATTTTAAGGGATATAAACTATTAGAATAGTTTGAAAATGAATAATATAGAATACCAAAGAATATAGTTTTAAGCTTGTAGAACTAAAATATAAAAGTTTTACTCAAAAAAGAACTCAATAAGTCAGAAAGTGCTTAACAAAGTAATCAAGTTAAAAAAATGAATCGGAGTAATTTCAGAATATTTTCTTTGTATACATAAAACCCATAGTGGGAGCCTCTAGAAATTTGGAGTGAACATTGAACCATTTCTAGTGTGTCCGACGCACGCCGAATGCTAATTTAGCAGAAGCACCGGGCGGGGCCCTCTTTAACCATATCCACTCGGTCGACACGTGTTCTTTATAAATTCTACGTTCGATTGTTCCAAGTGGGTATATCACAAAAAAAGGAAAAAAAAAAAAACACGGGAACCGCCCGTTTTCCAAAAAAAAAAACAAAAAAAACAACTGCGACTGCACTTTGGAAAAATAAACAACGAAAAGTACAAGTGCTAAGGCTGCAAATGTAGCAATTTTCAGTCAAGCAAACACCATTAGGGAATGTTTGCGACTGGAATGGGGACCGGAGATCGATTACAAAGTGCAGATTCACTTGACAAATGCATTGGAGGCGTTAAAACCAATGTCCAAGTCATTGTGGGCGACGCTCAATTCGGTAATTTGTAATTACTATTTACTCAATAAGTTTCGATGACCCGCTTCCCGTTTGCAATAGTCATAAGTCATTATTCGCGGACGGACTTTGCTTGCTGGCCAAGATTGGGTCACCTCCATGTCGTCGTTTACGTACCTCCTTCGCGTAGGCCTTTCCAATTCCATCGGTCGACCCGGTGACAACTGAAAATTATACAAGTTAGCCAAGGGTTCCAAGGGTTATCAGTGGATTGTTTTATCGCACACAGTGAAAAATTACTTAAGCAAGGTATTTGATTGGAAATTCTCATATAATTTGTGTTAATTAATTATTATTTACCAATTTTAAAAGTACATTTCCAAAGTATGAGCGTAACAAGTTTGATACTTTTCAAAACAATAAATTAATTTATTTCACTTTGATTTACTATTTTTCGGAGAGTTTTTCATTAGCATTGTTGTAATAAATTGAAGTACAAATCATTAAATACTCGTAATAATTAATACATGCAAATATTTTTGTTATATTTACATTTATATTATTTAACCGTTGCTTTGACCGAACTTTGGAAGTTACTGAATGGTGTCATAAAAAACCATTTACGTAGAAATATTATATGCGATTATTTTTGATAGTCTTTGAAAAACTATACGCATTTTTTCACTGTGCACTTGATAAGTTCCCATTTACCACTCCTTTCCGGTGACTTTATTTCATAGCAACCGACTCACCTGCCCACTCGCCCATTTTGGAAAGATCCACGGTGGATCCGAAAACCTTGGGCCCCACCACATTGGCGTAGATCCAGGGCAGGACCTTCCGGAACACCTGGAAGCCCACGATTCCGATGGCCAGACCGCCCAGCAGTCCCAGCACTCGGGAATTGTTCTCCTCCATAATGGGTATTATGTATTTCCTGGCTCCTCTGGGTGCAATATACTGGGATCGGGATCGGGCGTTCGGCTATAGCCTATGCCGGCTGATTAGTTTCTGATTCTCCGATTTGGTTTTCAGCTAAAATGCCGAATTGCCGACGCCGCTGCTTTTTTCTCTGCCTTTTCCGACTGCGCTGCGTTTGTACAATTGTGTTTGTGGTCGTATTGTATCGTAGTAAATCCACACAACACACACCCTTTAAAATCAGCAGTGATTTTCGATTTCTCGATTTTTGAACTCGTAGCTTTTGTTCTTCCCTGATTATTATTCAAAATGCGTTTTCTTCGGAAGGAGAAACAAATAAAGTAGAAGAGGAAATAAAAACAAATTGAAAAAGCAATTGAATGTCAATTGTCCACGACACAAAATGCGAATGGACGGTTCTTTTCCCTATATATGTATATATATTTATATATATATATATGTATGTGCAAATGTCCTCATGTGTGTGTGCGCCACTTATGTCATTCCATATCGCGCACACATACAATCCAATAAATTCAAAGATAAGGGCGGCAGCAAACAGTGTCCGCGAAAATTAATCTCCCCAAGAACCGTTATGTTGCATTGTATGATTTTGAGTAGGGGATGAAAATAAAAACTACCACTTTTAGAAAGGAAAAAATCATTCTCCAGGTTGCAAAGTCTAGAAAACTATAAAATAGCTACTTTTTTTTTAACTTTATTGTTAAAAATTAATAATAAATAAGTAAGAGTAAGTCATTGAAAATTTTGACTCATTTTGAATAATTTTGACAATTTTGGCTTAATTTAATAAAAAATCGGAACTTAAACTTTAAATTGGAATGCAAAGGCAGTGACCGGTTATTAGATGATTTCCTAGAGTCCTTCAAAATTTTTAAAACTTAAAAGTTAAGAAATTTAATTTAAATACAAAATGTATGCTAGTGTTTTTTGCTGGTGCTTTTCTTTGTAGGTAAATTGATTTGGTTATTGAATCGAATAAGTATTGACATATTAAGCTCTTTTATATCCTTTAAACGATATTTTTGTCAAATCTTTATTAATTGGCCGCATATTTTAAGACCTCAGTGTAAGTTCTATGTTCTCACCAATACACACCAACATGGGGCCATCCACCGAATTAATTTTACAGTTATACTGCACATGCGCAGGAAGCATCAGTAAATGCGATAAATAATTTAACTTGTACTATTTAGTTGCTGTACTGTGGTACAATTAAAGTCGTTTAAATTCCAGAAATTATCAGCAAGGCCTGCTAAGTTAACGGTACTTCGAAGACAAAACGAGATGGCGTATGTTGATAATCCTTTGCCTATCGATAACTATCGTTTTTAAATCGCTTTTTGAATTTTAAGCTTACTTTAATTTCAAATGAAAGGTAATTTATATATATTTTCAGTATAAATTCTTATTAAATTAATACAATCTCTTATATATATATATGTAGGCATTTGTATAATTGACATTTAAAGGGAAACGGATTTAATGGGCCATGGTTAGTGGGTGGAAATCTCTAGGTTCCGAAGATGCCGAGAGAAATGCTGTCTTTTCGGAGCGGATTCAGTGCCGCAGCAATTGTGGGTGAGGGAACAACAACGTCTACGGCCCGGCAAACGCATCTATACGGTCGTGTTTATAAATCCAAACCCTCCGTCGATTTAAAAAGAGCTTTAATTTGTTGAAATCCATGTGAAATTCATCTGCCAAAAGCAAGATACTTGCATTTTCTACTACAAAAAACTCTTTCATTGTAATTGTTTGAGATTGAGAGGTGAGTCGCCTTTTTAATTTTGGTGTTCGGGAGGGGACTTTCGTTTGGACTCGGTTCCTACGGATGGGATAATAGGGATGCGGATGCTGGCCATGCGCAGAGCATGTCCTGACCTACATTCTCGCTTATTGGCCATCCAAGCAGCAGTTGCAAAAAGATAAATACACACGCAACACGAGCTGGTTAATAAACGCTTTTCCGATTTTCCAACTATCCGACGTCTTTTGTTTCCCCCCAGCCACACGCGCTGAATAGTTGGCAAACAAAAATATCCGAGCAAGGACTCCCTGGGAAATGTGAATTCAGCTCCGGATAACATTCTCAAGTGCAATATGTCGAATATATTGCCGCAGTGCAATCGATAAGCAGTGAAATCCGTAGACGTATTGCATCCCAGAAAAGAAATCAAAAAAAAAAAAAAAGAATGCAGTGGGACGCTGATGCAGCTGGATCGATATAGAACAGATTTCAGGCGCGTTCATATGTGCATATCCTGCGGCGAGTGGCGCCAGTTGGTGTATCCCATATCCTGTATCTCGGCATACCCAGATACCCTGTTGCAGTGATGAGATCGAGGCTCTTTTGGATACTGGCAATTATATACTCCTCACTCCACCACATCGGATCGGGCTCCACGTCGACCACATGTAAGTGTCTGCCGTCTCCTAGTGTTTAAGCTTAAGCCATCATAAATATTTATCAAGCAAATATAATTGAATTATTAATATCGATTCGTTACTAAAACATGCATTTTTGTATGTTCAAATTGTTAGAAATTTGAAATGTAAAATAACTTTTTATAAACGAATTTAATTTATAAATTACATGTATATTTTATATTTGTTTCTGTATCAATCATTAAATGTGTGATATTAATCACTTATTAATTGTTTTGTTTCCAAAAAAAAGACTATTATTTTCAGTACTAAGTATTACGTTTTCTCTGAGTTTTCCTAAAAAAACAAAACAATAAATATTTGGTTTTTATTAAGTATAATATTTAAAAGCAGGGACCGTAGATATTATAAGTTATTATTTTTATTATCATTTTTAAAAGTTTATTATGTACACATAATGTTTTGTTAGGTAGCTTGTTTGTTTGCAGTCTGAAAATAATCTCGAAAATACCTTATTTTGAATTGAGAAACTTAAGCAATAATTATTAAACAGCTTTCAAAAACATAAATAAATACCCCATAATATATTTTAAGTTTTATGCATTTTAAGTTTTATACATGTTTTCAAGTTTTTATATATTTAATTTATTTGTTAGAGCTTTTTAAACATGAAAATAGCTAATGAAACGTATCCAAATTTATATTTACAAAAAACAGTAAAACGACCGCGGGCTGGCGATCCGTTCGACACTTTTCCGAAGAACTTCTGGCAGGAGTTCTCGTCACCGTTCACCGACACGCCCGAGGATGAGGAGCTGGAGGTCACGGAGACGACCACCCACGAGCCGTTCCCCTTCTTCGCCGATCCGTTCACCACGCTGAACATCAGCACCCAGCTGTCGTCCAACGTCTATCTGCACTGCCGGGTGAACGATCTGCAGGGCAAGACGGTGTCCTGGATGCGGCGACGTGGCGAGGACCTCACCCTGATCACCTTTGGCCAGCACACGTACAGCGGCGATTCCAGGTACTCGCTGGAGTTCGAGGAGCCCAACGATTGGAAGCTGCTCATTCAGTTCGCCAACGAGCGGGACGAGGGTCCCTACGAGTGCCAGGTGTCCTCGCATCCGCCGCTCGTCCTGCTCGTCTACCTAACGATAATTGGTGAGCAGATGGCTTTCACATTAGATTATATTTTATAATATACTCCCCTGCAGTTCCTCACGTGGAGATCCTCGATGAGCGGGGCTCGGCCACGCCGGAGAAGTACTACAAGGCTGGCAGCACCATCGAGCTGCAGTGCGTCATTTCCAAGATTCCGCATCCCTCCTCGTACATCACCTGGCGGCACGGACCGCGTCTGCTCAACTACGACACCAGTCGCGGTGGAATCAGGTAGGGTTCTGGGTGATTCCTCAGAAGAAAAAATCTTTAAAATCCCATGACTTAATTTTCTTAAATTAAATATTAAATTTATCATGGACTTAATACAAGTTTAAACAATTACTCGTGGCCTTGAATTGAATGCTTTTTGTGCCATTATTAGGTCCATGATCAGTTAATATTTAATTTAAGGACATGTTCTCGATAATTCCTTGATTTTTTTTTCTGGGTTTATAAGGACCAATAGTACATATAAGGATATAATGTCCATATATATATTTTTAAATTTATTTTCATTTAAAGATATAGAGTTGTTTGAGCAGTCTTCATTTAAATATGAAACCTATTTTTGCTCAATTTTAAGAATTTTTATAAACACTGATTTGTCATAAAAACAACAGAATCATTCTTAATTTTTTTCCCGAACTAAATAAAAAAGTGAAATACATTTCCAATAAGTGTCATTTGGAGGGCAGTTAATCCATATCCGTAGTAAGAATAACATATGCATAAATTTAATAAATAAAATTCCAAGGTTTTTGTTTGTTTCTAAAAGGCGTATTTTTCATAACAATAATTTTATACCGTTATACACGTTTTTCAATTTTTAATGTGACAAGCCGTTATTGGTTCTTTAACTAATTTATTAAGATAAGGCATGCGAAATGCTTCCATAAATTGATTAAATTATGTTCGACTTCTTTTATTTCGATGGCAATAATTTCTGACAATTTACATATGTACATACAAAATTTGAAAACATAAAAAAGTGATCTTTACCTATAAATAATGTTTATATATGAAACAAGGAGTCCTTTATAAAGTTTCCCTACGTTGCATACTTGTAGTGTGAAGACGGATATGCTGCCAGGTCGTGCTCTAAGTCGGCTGTATATCGCCAATGCCAATCGCCAGGACACTGGGAACTACACCTGCATGCTGGGCAATGAGATTACGGAGACGGTGGTCGTCCATGTGCTGAACGGTAGGTGTTGATCTCATTTGGAGACCACAACATAGTATACATTTTCATCCCGAATTCCAGGTGAGGAACCCGCCGCCATGCAGCATGCAAATGGATGCCGCCAAAAAGCCAACTCCTTCACAATGGTTGTGTTATTTCTAATGTCCGTATCCGGAATCGGTCGGTTATTGCATTTGGGATCGGGAATGGGATGGGGATGGGGATGGGGATGGGTTTGGGGAATGGGACGATGACGACGACGGCGCGACGGGAATTAGGGATCCTAGATCCTAGATCTAGATCCCAGTTTTGTGGCGCGGGAAATGCATACACCAAAAGAATCTTGTCCAGGATTGCATTTTCGACTTTTACTCTAATCATGGGTTGTTTAACATACGATACATAGCATAAACCGAATACTAAGCTTAAGTCAAGTGTATTTAAAACAAAAATCCCAAACCGTAAATCGAAAGATCAAAAACACAAACAGAAACTGAAACTGAAACAGAAAACTTGTATTAGTAAGGGCGTACGCGAAATATAGATGAGAAATTGATTTTTAGCGCTAGAAAACATAACATTATTATCATAATCGAATCGAATTGTACTACCAAACGGCCATGTTTTTGTTGGCTACAT